GTGGGAAGGGGGATTCATTTTGAGGTTTAATTAAGATTTACCTTAACTCTTGTATTGACACTTGAGGTCTTAAACATGTGGAATTGTGGAAAAGGAAAATGTGATTACAGAATTCTTTATCTATATTGATTTTCTACTTCGTATCCTTCGATTGGGCATTTGAATATATTTTTCGTAAAATCTTGGCACCGGTTACAGTCGGAACAGTCCTGATCCCTTTATTAATGTGAGCTGTGGCTTACTCTAACAGGTGATAATTTCAACATTATGAAATTCTCCCTCTATTTTCTAGCCAGATCTTTTTGGAGTTTGTTGTATGATCACTATTCAAGACTGAAATGGTGTTTTTGGAAACCTTGTTGGTTTTTGCACAGTCTTTCGTACAATTAAGATGATGATTATGTCCTGCGTTTGCAATGTGATTTGTAGGGTTGCTAAGAATGGCCCATTGGGGGGTCCTGAAACATATGTTTCTTGTATGCTTTTTACTATCCTTTGCGGATGCTAATTTACGGGACAAAATGTTGAAAAGAGAAGCTCTTTCTCCATATACTGTTCTTCTGGACGTTGCTTCTACGCCCGAGCTGCCCTCAACGGTGAATTTACATGCTCATAAACGTCACCTACTTCGTGATCGTGTTCCTGCTCATTCTCCTAATAATTATGGTCGCTTTGTGATTTCTACTCCCCCTTCAAGCTCTCGTATTTCCAAATCTTTCATGAAAAGGAGTGATTTAGTTCCAGCTAGTGCCAGCCTTCCATCACCTTCACATCTTTCAGAGACTGCACCAGTCCAATCCAAGCCTCATACTATACCTGCTGGTTTAGCTCAGCCGCCACTGTCCTCGGGCATCTCTAGTGAGATTGGAATTCTATTTTGATAAGTCAATATTTTCCTTATCTTTGTTTATCTATTACCATTTTTTAATGTGGGTCATTGTTGATGTTTTGGCAGATTGTTGTGCACCAAACATGGTGCTCAAACGTGGGAGCCATGGCTGTCACTGTGCATATCCAATAAGGCTTGAAATTCTGCTTCTGAATGTCTCTTCTAATCCGAACTGGAATCATTTTCTGGACCAATTTGCTTCCAAGTTGCATTTGCAAGTGTCGCAGATTGAACTCATTAACTTTTATATGGTCAATATATCTGGACTTAATATATCAATGGACATTACTCCACATACGGGTATAAGTTTTTCCTCCAGTGAAGTTGCCATGATAAACTCTTCCCTGTCGATGCGCAAGGTCTATCTGGATCCTGCTTTAGTGGGTGACTACAAGCTTCTCAACATAACCTGGTTTAGACCACCAGCACTGCCTCAAGGTAATCTTCATGTTTCTTGTTATATGGCGTATAGTTTGTTGTCTATTCGCTGTTTGGTATTCTTGTAGTGAGAAGTTGGAGCCTTGTATTTGGCAACAAGGAAAGTTATATAACAGTTCAGAATCATAGATGAGATTCATGAGAAATGTTATTTCTTTTCTTCTTACCCTCTTCTCTATCTAGTATATTTTTTGAGGAAACATTATTCTAAGCAAACTATATTAACTGAATGTAAAATTTGCTGACGCGTGATGTTGAATGAATAAATCTTTCTGATAGTTTCTGACCATGATGCAGTCATGAGTTGCACTGCTTTCCCTTACTTTTCTCCTCTCCATTCTGTTGATAATTGTGGATACCTAGGCTGCCGGTTTAGGCAAGCCATTCACATTAATGTTGAAAGTTGGTCAGCTATATTTTATGCATAGTTCTCTTTTACATTAATGTGCTATTCCGTTCTTTGGGGCATGTAATCATGAACAGCTACCTTTTTTGCTACACTATTTCACATTCTTAACATCCCTTTCACTTTAATATTTTTACTAGCATGTTTGGAAGGAATTAATCTATAACAATCTTTTCTTTCATACAGCTCCATCATCTGCTAAATCTCCAGCAGAAAAACCGCCAAGTTTTCCATCTACATCTGGAGCATTTGTAACTTCAAAAAAAGTCCGGCGGCCAAGTATAGTTGTTGTCATTGGACTTGGAGCCTTGATCCTGCTAGTTGTTGTCATGTCTGTGGTTATAATTTGTTTCTGTGTATGTCGTCAAGGGAAGCATTCTGAACCTTTCAAAGAAACTGGTATGTAAGGACTTGCAATGTCTCTTTGTTTATTCCCTTCTACTTTTTCATGCCTTTAACTAGTGAGCAACCTGTGCAATCCACAGGCAGATTTATTACCTACTTTTTTTACAATGTAGTTTTGTATTTAACTTGTCTAATAAAGTAATCATCATCGTGGCAGTAAAAATATTATGAAAATGAAGTATCATATATTATTGAACACTTCCTTGCACATACCAAGTATCCATCGTATTTCTAAAAAAGAAATCAATTTGAAGCAATTTGAATTTTTTTCAGCATCTTCAATAGATCTAAAAATAAGTAGCAAATTTAAACTGATTCATATTTACTTTCATTTGCATGTTCAACGTTATTTATTTACGTCTACTAAAACGGATTTTGGAATATTTAACTTTATGTTCTTTTAAAACAAGATAAAACTGGGTTTTTGTTTGACAGTGGTCCATGATTTATGTGTATATATTTATTAATACAGAATAAAAATGTCATTGAATTCTTTAATCAAAGTCATTAGGTTTTGAGATTTAGTTACACCTTGCACAAGTGAAGTTGAACTGATGTAGTGTGAAAGCGAGGTCAACTAATACCATATGAAAATGGGTATGGTCTTTATTTTCAAGAGTTTCAAGAGACTGTATTATGCATATTCCTCAATACCCTGTTAATTTTCAATTAACAAGATAAAAAATGGAATTAATCACTTACATAATTTGAATTTCAAACTTACATCATATGGTGGGACTATTTGAATTTTTCGGGAAAAAAGTTCCCCTAATAGTAAAAATGTTTTATTTTTTGGTGGGATTTTACTTTCTATTTGAAGTAAATGCTTCTCGTAATAGATACTAGTAACGTAACGTCTCTTCTTTTGGCATGGTGACATGTCTCTGGAATTATCCAAATATTTTACTATCTCATTCTGTTACTATCCTTAGATAATACCTAGACATCGGTAAGGATGAGCGCTCTATCTTTTTCTTCCGCTTCATTCATATTTTCATATTGTTGCATCCCCCAGCCTATATTTTCTATTACACTCACCATATTTTGACTTGAGTTTTCATTTATAATATTCACTCAATTTTCTTTTTGTGTAATAGCCAAACAGAGGAGTGTGGAGGCAATTCCAGCAGTAGGGTCGCTTCGCCATCCATCCAGTACAAGATTCCTCACATATGACGAACTAAAAGAGGCTACAAATAATTTTGAGTCGACTAGTGTTCTTGGAGAGGGTGGCTTTGGGAGAGTATTCAAGGGTGTCCTAAGTGATGGAACTGCTGTTGCTATAAAAAGGCTTAGCAGTGGAGGACAACAAGGGGATAAAGAATTTTTGGTTGAGGTTGAGATGCTAAGTAGGCTGCATCACCGGAACCTGGTGAAACTTGTTGGATACTTCAGTAATCGTGACTCCTCACAGAACCTACTCTGTTACGAGCTTGTTCCAAATGGAAGTTTGGAATCCTGGCTCCATGGTAAATGGCCGGTGAATATTCTTCTTACATTTTTACGAATTCCTGAATTAAATAATATTTTTTGTAAGATGAAGGATTGTCATCTCTGCAATGATTATATTATGCTTCAGGGCCCTTGGGACTAAACTGCCCGCTTGACTGGGACACCAGAATGAAAATTGCTCTTGATGCTGCACGTGGGCTCGCATACTTGCATGAGGACTCTCAACCTTGTGTCATTCATAGGGATTTTAAGGCATCAAATATATTGCTCGAGAACAACTTTCATGCTAAAGTTTCCGATTTCGGCCTTGCTAAGCAGGCCCCTGAAGGCAGGACAAATTATCTCTCCACCCGTGTTATGGGGACTTTCGGGTTAGTTCCAACTGTAGTTTTCCAATTTTCCTTTGCTACATGTTGAAGCCCATATACTTTCTTCTCTTAATCTTTTCAACACTTGGATTGATTCGAACCTTATACAGATATGTTGCCCCTGAGTATGCCATGACTGGGCACCTGTTGGTGAAGAGTGATGTTTACAGTTACGGAGTGGTTCTTCTCGAGTTGTTGACAGGAAGAAAGCCAGTAGACATGTCACAACCATCAGGCCAAGAGAACCTTGTTACATGGGTTTGCTTTATTTCGATATCTTACTCTTTCTTTGTTCTTGTAGTTTCGAGTATTTCATGATGGCATTTAATTTTGTTCATTATTGATATGCTAGTGGACTCGGTTTTTCCAATAGGTTGGGGTAGCAATTCTATTCCATATTCTTCGGGTCCTTTTTATTTATTTATTTATTTATTTATTTCGTACTCTTGGAGTTGTCAACTTATTCATTGCACTGTATCTCAAACAGAAAGACCATTATAAAAGTTCAACTAAATTATAGAATCAGATATTGTCTACCCCTATTTGTAGACTTGTTAGTATAGATCAATTGCACAAGATTGTGAAAACACTATTGTTTCTCAACTAGAAATCTTGACATGTTGAAGAAAGTAAAAAATATTTTTATGTATTGTTGCAGGCTAGGCCAATACTACGAGAAAAGGACCGATTGGAAGAACTAGCTGACCCAAGGCTGGACGGGAAGTATCCAAAGGAAGACTTTTTTCGCGTTTGCACGATTGCAGCCGCATGTGTAGCCCCAGATGCCAACCAGCGGCCTACTATGGGAGAAGTTGTTCAGTCGCTCAAAATGGTGCAACGCATCACAGAGTATCAAGATCCCAACGTACCTTCCAACTCTGCACCCAACAACCTTAGGCAGTCATCCACGACCTTCGAGTCCGACAGAACATCGTCAATTTTTTCTTCTGGTCCATACTCGGGTTTTAGCGCGTTAGATAATGAAAACATTTCTAGGACGGTTGTATTTTCGGAGGATCTTCATGAGGGAAGATGAGTCTCGTTTTCCTTTCGTGGAATGTTTCTTTTAATTAAAATAGCTTTAGATTAAAAAAAAAAAAAAATAGCTTTAGATTGCGCAGTCCTTTTGGATCTTTGAGAATGGGATCCTTGAATCTATCAAGGGTTAAGGAGGAAAGAAAAAGGTAAACGAAATAGAGAAAAGACTGCGAGAGTAAATTCTCCATTTTTGTTTTGTATTTCTTAGCTTAAAAAATTGATACGTACAAACAGCAAATCCCCCATTTATACACGTATGTGTGCAATGTGTCTATATTGAAACGACATTGTATTATTTAGTGAGAACGAACGCTGTATGAATCAACAACATCATAGTAAAACCTAAAACTCTCGTCATAAAGCATGCTTTTAAAATAACAAACAATAGAAATAACAGAAATATCGGGTTATTGCTAATATGGAGGGATACTTAATTGTCGCACCATATGGGAATCGGGTAAACCGATGATAGTCGAAAATCCCTAGCAATATAAGAAATCCAAAGCAACGCTGAAACAATGGAAGTCGATGCTCGATATTCAACTTCTACTGAAAATCTTGAGATTGTGTGTTATTTCTGTCTTCCAAGATATCAAACAATTTTCTAGAAAAATTGCATTATCTTGTCACTGATCTACGTGTGTCTCTACAAGAGCCCAGCTAGCCTCACTACACACAACAATTTTTCTAGAGTTCCCTTAAGAAACTGAAGAACAAAGGATGAGTACCCTTGATATTTGAGAACATGCATGCAATGATCCCAGTGTGAACTATGTGGATTATTAACAAGCTTAAAAAACTGAAGAACAAAGGATGAGTACCCTTGATATTTGAGAACATGCATGCAATGATCCCAGTGTGAACTATGTGGATTATTAACAAGCTGACAAAGTTGCTGCACAACATATGTCACATCCGACCTAGCCATATTAAGGTATAGAAGCATATATGTATTTGTCGTTAGGCTGATCAAGTGGAACTCCTTCACCTATTTGCAACCTTGTCCCATGATGAAAATGAGTTGCTGCATGTTTGCGTGCTAGCATACCTGTATCCCCAATAATATCTAGAATATATTCCTTCTGATAACGAAAAATTCTATCTTTGTTTCTACTCAATTCTAATCGAAGGAATTTTGCTAGCCCCAAGTCTCTGAGTGTAAATGCTTTATAAAAATATTGTTTAATGTTTGAGATAGAAGATTGTCAGATCTAAGTCAACAATACATCATCCACATAAACAAAGACTGCCAGACAGCTTTCCCCTCTTTGCATTATGAACAAACAGTGATCATAACTAGATTGTGTTAAACCAATAAAAGAAAATTTATGATAAAGTTCATTATCTCATTCTTTCGATGCTTGTTTAAGCCCATATAAACTTCTCACTAGCTTGCATATATGTCCTTGTTGTGCCTTATTGCACCCTTATGGTGGCAACATATATACATATATACATTTGTATTAGCTAGATGTGAACAATACAAATTACAATATCCTTATTGTCGCAAGTTAGCAACTAGAGAAAAATGTCAAAATAATTCACTCCTTCCACATGATTGTACCCTTGGCCACCAACTGTGCTTTGTATCTCTCAATTGACCCATCTGCTTTTCTATTAGTCTTATACAACCCATTTGGATCATATGACCTTTTTTTTATTTTTTATTTTTTTTTTCTGGTAAGCTTGTTAATTCCCAAGTATGTTTATGATCTAGAGCTTCTAGTTATTGTAATAGGCTCAACCCAAATAAGATGTTACTTTCTTGAGAATAGTGAACGAATTTCTTTTCTAGAGACACATTTGACATAAAGCCATACAACCATCTTGGTGTGTTACACCATTCTGAGACACAGTATTTCAAATGTAATCCTCCTGCCAAATTGGTGTTTGTTTCCTTCTATTGGTTCTTCTAAGTCCATTTTTCTACAAGAGGAGACATATCCTCTTTAGTCTCATGAGACACAGACTTAATTAAATATTCATTATCCTGAACTCGAATAGGTAAAGTACGTTTGTTGTTCTCATAGTGTATAACAAATGGAAATTCGTCTTCAAGAAAACCACATCTCTGGCAATCACAAGAACTTCAGAGTCCATATCAATAATTGATAACCCTTCTTCCTGCTACATATCCTAGAATTACACATTTGGATCTACTTGCTTCAAATTTGCATTTGTTGATGTTGATATGCATACTAAAAGTTTAGCTTTATATACAAACACATTGCTGATTTTTGAATGAGAATCGTGTCTAATCAAAATTGTGCAATTTAAATTTTTTTGATGATAAATACTTGTGCAAATTCATTATGTTATTTTTACATTGTAGATAATATGGTTCATCGTGCGAACAAAAGATCTTATTACCAATTCCTTGTAAGTAAAATTTTCGATTCACAACCTAAATTGAGTTTAACAAATTATCGCCAGCGGTTGTAGTGCAGATTTGGAATTACTTTATCTTGACTAATAAATTACCTAGTACTTTTAGAATGTGAAGTAGTGGGGGAATATAACCAGTATAGCAGAATTGCGCTAAATGAACAAAGCAATATACATAGATGTATGTTCACACAGTTGCGAAAGCAATATTCTACAAATCGTGAACCTTCAGGAGAGCATCCGCTCCCCCTCCAGAACTCTTTCATTAGTATAGATGTCACAACCATTGCTCAAAGGTTTTACAATGTAGACTACCTCTGATATAATCACCTATGCTATTACTTTTCCGACCACAGATCCTTTGTGGATTTTATAGCTTGAATCCGTCAAACTAATCCAAATGATCCCCCCAAACACTTCGTTTAATAGAACAAAATAAACTCTCTATGTGATCGAGAACACCTTCTCGATTCACCAATCAATAAAATAAAAATCCAACTCACAGAAACTGATCTAGCAGCAACAACAGACTTCCTTACTTGATCTCCCTTGTTCGTTTGGCCTTTCTTCTCTCCCTTTTTCGCCTTAAATGCCAAAGGCGCTTTAGCCTTTAACCCACCAAGAATCTCCTTGTAGTACCTCCTTTGATTTTCTATCTTCTTTTATAGATTTGCAAACAAATTTTCCTATTGGATGACATATTGATCTAGCATGGAAGCAACATCCGAGGCTTTGTGAAGGGCTTGAAATTTCTTCTGAACTTGCTTTCCAAACAGTGCCACGGGCTTAACAACTGGGGCAAGTTCATCACCAATTCTGGGTTCCATCTTCACCCCAACACACATAAGAATAAAATGGATAATCACAGAAAATGGCAGTAACATATGAGGCTTTGACACATAAACAAAGGACATAACATTATAAAAAATAACAGGCCCAAGATCAAAAGGAATACCGCTCAGAATGCGATAAATCACCCTTGTCTGAATTGGTGTGGCACGTTGCTTATGGGAAGTGAGAGTCTAGTTCAAAGACCCAGTATATTAAAGTACATTTTCCTGGTCAATGAGACTCTTGACGAAGAGTCCTGGTGAGATCCACTTAGTCAACTAACCACCAGTAATGACTAAGGCAACTTCATCAAGATTATCCTCCGAGAGACAAATATGAACCATCTCTCAGACTTAGACTCTCATTTATTGTATGAGGAGAGAAATCAACAATGAAATTTCTAACGAAGACCTTTTGAAACTTGAAGGATTTAGGGTCTAAAATCAAAGAGCACAAATTGGAATAAAATTCACCAACCAACCTAGGGCAAAACCTATCCACTGACAGAACCTACTTCTCAAGACCAACTACTTTCAACAAGTCTAATAGCCCAAGACGCTCAAAACTAAAAGAGACCACTAACCTTTCACTCCTAAACAACATTTGAGAGAAAACATTCTTATACCTAGATTCAACAGACAGAAAATAAAACTGGCGGTACAAAACATTACCAACAACCCAAGGCTCATCATCATCATCATCATCATCATCATCATCATCATCATCATCATCATCACCAGCAGCAACAGCAACAACAACAGTAACAATATCTTTTGACACAAGTTGTTCTTCATATCCCTGACCATCCTTACCACCAAGAGACTACTCAAGTGTATTGGGTTTATCTCCAAAACCAGTCCCACCCACCAACTCATCAATGTTTTTGTTAGTAGAGTCCACATCGTCTCGTGATTCAGGTGAAGATTCTCCACTGGACTTGGTTGAAGAAAGAGAAAACACAGGAGGTTCAATGACATCATCAAATTCTTTGCCTTCTTGGCTTTCGTAGTTTCAGGTTGAATAATTTTTTACTTGTTTCACTTTTTAGAAGACTTAGAAGTCGAGGGAGATCCTGCAACTCCCACGTCCTTTTGTCCAATAGCCGCAAATTCAACCACCATTGTAGTGGCAGATTTTTTTCAGGCTTGAAAAAACTCTGGTTTCTAAAGTTTCAGCTGGTTGACGGTTCTCCTCGGCCATGTCAAAGGTTGCTGTGTTGGAAGGTGTCTTCGTACTTCTGCTTTGGTGAGTTGACCTCCTAGGTGGTTCAAGAGCATTCTTCTTTGATTTCACAAATTTTTGTTTGATTCTTTGCATGATTTGTAAATACTGAAGGAGAATTTGCTAGACAACAAATGGTAAGAATAATAAAATTAGGGTTCTAGAGAGTTAATTGATAAAAACCGGGAATGATGGGCAGTGATATAATATCGCAAAGATATGGAGAGAGAACCGTTGAGAAACTAACCTTGAGATGTCATGAGTTAGACAGTTCAACTTTTTCAAGTTTAAATTTTAAACTCGACCAATCAAAATTAATAACCGTTCCCTTCAAACAAAATATCCACTTTTCAAACTCATGATACGATATATCAATTATACTACATGAAGTTTCTGACGACCAAAAGGCAACATTTCAGTACCAAAATTAAATTAAACGATTTTAAGGCAAGATTCAACACTTAGGAAATCATGTAAATTTATGCCTAAAAAAAAAGAAAAAAATATCATGCAAGCACAAGATTATTCAAACGCATGCAATCACGTGGTAATTTTTGTTTG